GTACAAAGACTTAATACTTACTTCAACCGATGACTACCCAAAAAATTTTCGAAAGAAGGAGAAAAAATTATTTCTCTTTGGAAACCTTACCGAGCGAACATAAACGGCCTTTGATCCAGCTTGTTCACGTGCCTGTCATCGAACATGTTGTTCATTCGCAGCCATACTAAGACGTAATGCTCACATGAACCGATTGCTTCCCATAAGAAATTCCGAAAGTAGAAGAAAATTAAAAGAAAAAAAAATGAATAAGGGGTGCAACACGAGGACTTCCCAGGAGGTCACCCATCCTAGTACTACTCTCGCCCAAGCACGCTTAATTGCGGATTTCTGATGGGATCCGGTGCATTAGTGCTGGTATGATAGCACCCATTGGTCTTTGCATGATAAATCTATACAAGCCACATCTCATTGGATCCGGTGCATTGTTGCCAACATATGATCGTATACGTCATACGTACTAAGACTTAATACTTACTTCAACCGATCACTACCCAAAAAATTTTCGAAAGAAGAAGAAAAAATTATTACTCTTTGGAAACCTTACCGAGCAAACATAAACGGCCTTTGATCTAGCTTGTTCACGTGCCGTTCATCGAACATGTTGTTCATTCGCAGCCATACTAAGACGTAATGCTTACATGAACCGATTGCTTCCCATAAGAAATTCCGAAAGTAGAAGAAAATTAAAAGAAAAAATAATGAAAAAGGGTTACAACACGAGTACTTCCCAGGAGGTCACCCATTATAGTTCTCGCCCAAGCACGCTTAACTACGGAGTTCTGATGGGATCCGGTGCAGTAATGCTGGTATGATCGCACCCATTGGTCTTTGCATGATAAATCTATACAAGCCACATCTCATTGGATCCGGTGCATTGTTGCCAACATATGATCGTATACGTCATACGTACTAAGACTTAATACTTACTTCAACCGATGACTACCCAAAAAATTTTCGAAAGAAGAAGAAAAAATTATTTCTCTTTGGAAACCTTACCGAGCGAACATAAACGGCCTTTGATCCAGCTTGTTCACGTGCCGGTCATCGAACATGTTGTTCATTCCCAGCCATACTAAGACGTAATGCTTACATGAACCGATTGCTTCCCATAAGAAATTCCGAAAGTA